CCGGCCCCTGTAAATGTAAAATGTATTACTGGCATGCAAAACCTTAAATTACAGTAAATAAATGAAGACTTGGCACACCACCTCTCAAAGGTTGCCGACCCCTGATGTAGGTAGTTAAATGGGTAAAAGGACAACAGAAGGAAGAACCATCAAACTCTTCTTCCTAAATGGCAGTTTTTTAGGCACTATTAGTCGCATGTTTGTACAAACCATACTCCTAATGAGAAAGCAAGTTATTTCAAAGCAAAATATGTTGTATTACATGCAGGTCTAGTATACTGATTTACTGGCAACCAGGGCAAGCGTGCATTGCAATGGACCTGCATGACATCAAGATTCTGCCGTCAGCCCAATAGCGACTAGTTTTGGGGCTGAATGCCTGGCACTTAGCATGGAGTCTTCAAACCCACTTTCTCTTAGAAAATTCCCTTCCTTTGATACATGTACAGACTCATACATTGAATAGCATTTACATGGGCCTTGGGGTGAATTCATTCCCTGCTAACAGTCATCAGCTTTGGACTGCCTTCTCAGTACGTAATAAAATACATAATGTATGTATTTTGTACATTCTGAATTTCAAATCCTAATCCAGTTGTACAGTGCCATTTAGATGTCTGTGTAAAACAGCTGAAAACTACTAGCTGGCAGATGAGTATCTTAACCTACTCCTCTAAATATTTGCTAAAATTGCATGGTATATTTTCTTATGAAGGCTTTGTTTGAAAAATAACATTATTTTTTCTTTAGAGCATCAAACCAGCTCCAAACAGACTCCACAGACTCAGCCAAGAGATGAAGACTTTGAAGGGGCTCCATGGAACTGTGATAGCTGCACCTTTCTGAACCACCCAGCGCTAAACCGCTGCGAGCAGTGTGAAATGCCACATTACACCTGAATCTGGAAAGGGTCTGCATTAGGTTGAAAACCAGTTCTTGAGCCCACAGCCATAGGAGAAGGAAACATGGGGAACCTTTCAGTCCATCTGCCAGGCCTTTGTTAGTCAACTATTTTCAGATTACAAGGGGGGAGGAAAAGATGTGAAACTGTTTCCACTTGTACTGCACTAAAGAATAAATTTAGGGAGTGGGGAGGGAAATATTCTTTTCTTATCCCATTGCAGTGAGCAAAGCAGAAAGGATACCCAAAACCAGGAAAGGATTCACTCTTTGAAGAATGTATACAGGAAAGCAGATAATTGCTGTTTAATCCTGTGGCTGCAGTTACTGCTTAGTGGCTCTTAATTTTTAAATATAGAATTTTTAGTAATGATGTGAAATATTACAGTTATCCCGACAAACTGAAGCCATAGCTGACCTACCTGGTCCCAGCTAGCTGGAAAACAAAGGCTCCCTGTGCTTCTGGATTGTAAACTACTGAAAAAGAAGACAGGAAAATGCAACTGTAAATTTTACAACAGATAGAAAACAGAGAGAGGGGTATTTGTAATTGCTGCTTTTTTTCAGGGTGACTTAAGTCTACACAAAAATTTGCTGTTTTGAGATGTGACTTCTGGTGCGAAAATGAAGTACTGTATGAGCCTTATAAAAAGTAGAATTGGAGGTGATTCTGCAATCCCTTTTGCTTGTATAGTGCTCACCAAGCAGTGTCAACACTGGTAATTAACTAAGAACCAATTCTACCATATTACTGATGAAAAGATTGCTGCATGCTTTTATTAGGCCATTGTGTGGTAAAGCTAAAAGTAAATTATGCTTTTATAAATAACGTTCTCCTAAGACTGCTCTGTAGCAGTACAGTGAACGTATGCCAAATGCCAGAACTATTCCAAATTCTGTTTGGAAGTTTTGAGCTCAGCCATGGTTATGTATGAGAAGTGTTTGCACCCTGTTACTTAGGCCTTTTCAGCTTCCAATTTTGTGAAGAATTCATGATGTTTACAGCACAGAAGGTACTTTGTGCCCCAATCCTGATTTAGCTGAAAAAGAACAATCAATATTAGCTCTTCAATAAAGGTTTATTTGCACATTGTTAATAAACCAGCCTGTATAAATAGCAGATGGCAGATCTGGAAAAGTTGCACACTGCATTTTTTTATTTTGGTCAGGAAATGTTTGCAATATAGTGAAGAATACAAAACACTTGCAAACTAAAAACCATACTGGTACTTTTATGCATATAATATATTGTATTATATAAAACGATCAGTTTTGTTTAAACGCTTCAGTTTGCTGTAATAAAGCAGTCATTATTTGTGAAATCAGAACTTCTGGATTTGGGCAGCTGAATGATTATGAAGTGAAATTGTGTGACTGATTGAGGATGTTTTTAAGAAGCTGGTACAATGCATCTGAACTTTTACACTGTAACCGTTGTTTAAAATCCAACATTTTCACAGCATTTGAAAGGGAGAGTTTTTGTTATTTTGCCTGTATTGCCTTTCTGATGTTTTCCCTCCATGCAGTTTAAAAAGATAGCAGCAAAAACTGCTGTCTTGTGATTCAGATCAGGAACTGCCTTTTATCTGGTATGATATTGAAATATGTTCCTTCACTCATTAAATCCTAAACATAATCTAAAATAATCTATTTAATAAGTCTGCTTGAGATCAATTGAAGTGTGCATCATTAATAAGCAAAATGAAGTCAAAGGCATCGGTGTTGAGATTTCTTTTTAAGTTGATGATGATTTTGCACTGTATGATGAGGAGCTCATATGTAAAAGAAAACAAAAATTCCCGCTGTCCAGATGAAGTTAAAAATAAGCGTACATTTTTGTAATTCTGTTTGTATAAATGGACAGTGTGGCAAAACTGAAGGGACAGTGTGGAAAACAGATGAGCTGAAGCATTTTACTTAAAACATTTTTCTTCCTTGAGAGATTAGCAACACCATTACCTGTTGTATATTCAGGTATTCAATACAATACCAATTCTGTCATAGTTCTTCAGTGATGATGCCTTTTCTTTTGTATGATTTCAATTTTCAGTCCTATTTATGTTGACTTTTTAACAGCTTTAGTTTCTGCTGGAATAGCAAAAATGATAACTAAAATGACAGTCATCAGATGAGAGTAACAGTAGCATGCTTGAGAACAGTTGTGCCACTTTGTTTTAAGACAGTGTAGATGCTGTTGATTAAAAAAAAATGCATGCAACTCATTCATTCTGTGAGCTCTAATAATCCTAAATGCATGGTTTCTGGTGGTATGAAGACAGTCTAGTCTTAGTCATAGCTTTCACCAGCTAGCAGAAGACAAAAAAGAGGCAACCTATGAGGAGATGCTATTGGGAGGGTGAGAGAGGGTGCCATCAAATAGGCAAGTTGATTTTAAGAGCAAAGCTGATTTTTATTTGAGCTTTTTTTCAGTTCTCATTTATTGGTTGTACAAAAAGTATTGAAATTTTTTTCTGTTGTACTCATTTACTTGTAAATGTCCATGCACAAACATTAGCAGTACAAGAACTATATATGGTACTTGAATCTTTAGTTTGTTAGAACATAAGTTGTATTTGAATATTAGATCATCCATTTTGCTTTTTGGAAGCAGGCAACACACCCTTTCCCACTCCCAACTGAAATGTAGACTATGCCAAAAAAGGTTTCTTTGTGTAATATTTATTTAATGCACACAAAACCCTAATGTCAGCTGGCATATAAAATGCACTGTATTGTATAAAACTTTTGAGTGTATTCGTGTGTGGATGGCAGGATGCTGATGCCGTTGTGGTAATGCACTACTTATTTTTAATAACAAGCTTTCCCTCAACTATGCTATTAGACTAGTATGGTTCAGTTGGTAACTTACTTGGACTTTAGGTATTTAAAAGGATTTCACTATTCATTTAAATTAACTTTTCTAAAAACTTATTTTGTATTTATCATCTATTAGTATCAATTATCCCTTCCTACTACCATAGTTCTTTAAAAGTTTTAGTCAGAGTGGGACTTGTGAACAATATTTCAGGGTATAGCAAACCAAAAGAAATCCTAAACTTGGCTATGCTTTGAATTTGATGTAATTATCAACCTTGCTTGTTTGGGAGGGAGAAGGGCAGGTGGGGGGCTAAGAAGAAAATAATTTGTAAAATATAGTCTAAGATCAGATTGAGTTGTGCATTTGTGTGTCTGTGGTATGTGTGTTTTCCCTTAAGATGGGAGGTGTGATGAGAAGGTGTAATAATTTTTAAAGAGCTGGTCTCGGTCTTAGTACTTTCTAATCATGTGCTACTAAATCAGGTTTTCTTTAAAAATATATTGCTTTCTTTCAGTTACTGTATCTGTCCCAGTTATACTCTCATTTCAGGTTTTCCATGGCAACACATGTCAACATTAAGATTGATTGTAAAATCCTTTGAAACTGAATTCAGAAATATTTAAGAGCTGAAATTGGGACAAAACAAAATGGGGGGGGAAATAAAGAATGTGAGAATATCAAATAAGTTAAAAATGAAACTGTCATCTTGATCCTTTTTAATATTCATTGGTATACCCAGGAATGTGAAAATGGCTTTCATAGTTCAAGGTGGACAGTTGGACTCATAGATACTTAACTGCTTCTCTGAGACTGTAAAATTTACATGCTGTGATACTACTGTGACTCTCCACCCCATAAAGACAGAAGACATGCACGCAAACGATGCGTCTTGTAGTCAATATTGCTTCTGTGTTCTGCACCTATTTTATTTCCTTTCCAAATGTTAACATAATTATTTAAAGTTGGCCATGATTGAAACTTGCTGTATGTTTTAGTTTGGGGCATTCTCATTGCTTGTCTATAAATATTAATACAGGTAGGTTTTTCTTGACTTGTTTGAATAATAAGAGGTCATTGGAGTTAATGCAATATTATAATTTTGGATTTTCAAGACCTGAAAGAATTTTTTAAAACTCTGTTCTTGACATTTATTTATTTATGGTGGCACCGATGTATCTAATCCATATTTCCTGCTCTGTGGAACCCTGTTAAATTTTTTCATTAAAACAACAAGACAAGATCTTGTCAAATCCTGTAAATATGATGTCTTTAGTTTTTAGATGTATATGCTGTGAATGAGATTATTACCAAGAGATGAAATTGTACAAAAGCATTAAGAGGCAATGCATGCATGGTATCTCCAGAAAGTGCATACTCGAAAAGTTGCAGATTTCTGCAAAAATAAATTAATAAACTAAGAAAACATCACATCCTGCATTTGTTCTCGTGTGTAGTAGAAGACATTTCCAAAATACCAAATTTTCTTGCTTTGACACTAAACATGTTTCTGTTAAAGTGTAGCATTCTCCATAAACCCATAGCTATATCACACTTTTGTTTGTGTCTTTGTAAATCAATATATTTCCCCCTGAACAACTGCTCTATGTTGGACTTGGGCCCCAAACTTGCAGGTCGATCTACAGGGGTAGACCTTTGAGGTGTGTGGTGTCCCACTAAAGTCAAAGGTGCTTTGTGCAGATCAGATTGCAGGATTGGGACTGTGCACAAATGATGTTCACAAAGTGTTTTGGTCTCTCTTCCTTTCAGCAGCAAGCCAGAGAACATTCTGATTCCAGAAGATGATGCTGTTAATGGCAGTTGAAAATTTATTATAGATTTCCAACCCCCCCCCCCCCCAAGGCTTGAAGAAAAGGTTCTTTTATTGAATGAATGGTGTAGACTTTTAGTCATTTTTTTTCCTAAGAAGACTCAGGTGTGACTGTTGAATCACTGCAAAGGTAGTTTCCTTAGCACAGTATCTTTCTTTAAACTATAAAGTTTATTAAATTGATTTGTCGTGTGATCTGGTAAGTATTATAGGAATTATTCTTTTCAGTTGATCCTTTTAACCCTTCTAATATGAAGTATGGTGGTAGGTAAGTACTAGGTTTAATTGTTGCTTCTCAGATTAAGTGTATTGTGGCTAGACAACTGACTTCATCTAATTTATATGAAAATCAGTCTCAAATAGTGGCTTGCTGATGTCTATTGAATTCTAAATCAAAGATTTCCGTTCTTTGAATGAGGACTATTCAAGCTCCATGAGCAGGATTTTCAGAAGTGCTCAGAGTTGGCCTAACTCTTCTCCCTTTTAACTCATTGGGAGTTTAACCATTGACTTCAGTGGGAACAGTCAAGCTAACTAATCCCAAGCAAACTTTGGATCCCCAAATTTGATCTAGCTCAAAACTGTAGTTTGGGACTATTGCCTAAAATCTAAGCCATTACGTTGTAACTGAGCAAGGATGAGTCCTCCTGAGGCTGCCAATGCCAGTGAAGAGAGCAATAGTTTCCACTGTCGGAGCAACCTGAATGTTTTTGTAGTTTCTTGGGTTCTTGTTTTGTAGCTAATGAAGAAACATTGGAGCTTCTAAAAAGCCAATGTAGCATAACTGGGGTGGAGGGGTTGGGGGATAACCTGCTATGAGGTAAGGGTTTACCTTACATAATATTACCACACAAACTTGGTTGACTTAGAGTTAAGGTTGCTCTAAGCATGCAGATTCACTTCCTCTAATTCATACTCGCTGTACAAGCTTAGCTATGGGTTCAGAGTTAAGTTTGTGTTTGTGGGCTGCATCCTTGTCTAGTGTGTGAGGAGCTGCTGATTAGCTAGGTTGTGGAGAAGAACTGATGCAGCACTTGGGACCATTGCCAGTCTGTCATGTACAGAAGTTTGGAAAACACCAGCATTCCCTTGCTTTCTCCTTCACTCATCTGCTGGATGCTTCCTCAGGAGCTTTGCTCACGCCCTATACCATCATCGTTGGTCCCCCAGGGCATCTTTCATACCTTGAGCCCCTTCCTCTCCCCCCCACATATCCCCGATCAGTCCCTCATGACTCCATTGTAGGCTGTCTCACTCTTCCCTGCATGCTTTACTCCCCCATCTACAATCACTAAAAAGGCGACTTCTTACAAGGAGCCTGACCTATAGAACGTGGCATTGACAAAACTTCCCATGTCCATCAAGTTTTGTCAAAGAAAGCCAGCTCTGATCAGGTAAACTTTTCTCCCATGTAGTCTACAAATCAAACATTAATATCCTTACTGTAACTGCAGTGTTTGTTGTAGCAAGGTGGAAGAAACAAGATATGTTTTAACACTTTGCTTTCAACAGAATGTGAATGGATGAAGCATCAGCTTAGCATGTGAGCTGGAAAATCAGCACCAAATAGAAATTGAAGTACTGAATGTAAAGTATGGAACGAGATATAAATTTGTTCCACACTACGAACTCCTCTAATTACTTCACGATGCCACACCCAATGTTGCACTAATTTAACTAAAGGTGTAGTTTTAAAACTAATTTATTTAAAATGTACAACTTGGTCTTGTTACTAGGGAAATGTACCAGAATTACTATGCTAGTATAATTATACCACTATAATTACTCATATAATGCCTCATGTCAATACTCTTAGAGTAATTGGACTTTTTTTGGTTTGCATCCACAAAAATAATTATAATGGTTTAACTAGGTTGGTAAATATCGTGGTGTAAACTAGACCTTTGTGTGTGAGACATTTACATTGGTTTAAATGTGGTTTACGCCGGTTTAGCTTTGATGCTAAAATAATATAAACAAGGTTTAAATTGATATGATTGTCCATGCTGGGATTTGCTCTGGTTTCAGTACATTGTTTTTTAAACCACACCTTTAGTTAAACAAATGCTGCTTTTGTGTGTAGACAAGCCCTTAATTTCTCAAAATTAAAAAACAAGTATCCTTTCCTGAAAGCATTTCTTGTATCTGCTCATTGTTATGCTACCTTAAGAGCATGTTTCATGCTGCTAAACGTGAACAAATAGTTTATTTTTTTAAATTAAACATTAAAATAATAATGAAGTTAGAGTAGCAAATATCTGCAGTTGTTAAAATGTCGCAAAAGCTGATTTTTGGTTTTATCTGGGTTCTATACTTTGAGATAACTAGGGTTTGTCTATATTCGAAAAATTTTAGTGGATTAACTAATTTTTAAATTGGTGTAGTTAAACCAGTGCAAACCTCTAGATGCACTTAAAGTGGCTTATCCCCTATTTAAATTGGTTTAACTTAAACCAATTTAAGTGAGGGTTACCCTGGTTTAAATTAAGCTACATTACAGGTTTGAACCAGTTTAATTAACCCAAATTTTCTAATGTAGATCAGGCCTTAATTTATATACAGAGGCAAAAGGAAGCTATTTCCATAAAACATTCCTATAAGTGAAAAACTTCAGATTTTCAGTTGCATGAATCTTTTTCTTCTGGTATATTATAGATGTGCTATGTGAAGTTTTATAGGAACAGGTGTTTATTTTAACAGGTAATTCCTTATTTAGAAGGTTTGCTAAATTGCTGATTATGCTATGTTGTTGTCAGGTAAGTAAATTCCAATCAAGTCATTAAAGAGTCTCCCTTCAGGAATGACAACACTTCACGTTTATTTTACAAAAAGGTCTACAAAGGGTCCAGAAAATATTTTAAAGTAAACATTTCTATAAAAATGTGTAGGAAATACATCAATAGACTTTGGGCAAATGCACTTGTATAACAATATAATTAGTTTCTTTGCAGATAGTCAAAGGGCATAGCATGCCAGTAACTTGCTGTAAAAGTCCATAGGCTCATATGAGGGGTTTTTTTATTATAGGTTGTCCTGGATTCATTATTCCCATGCCATAATGACCTTGCTGAAGTTCACAAATACTCCTTTGTTAGGTTTGCTAGGGGGAAAAAAAACCCATACAAAACATTCAGTTAATGTTCACAAAAGGTTTGTCTTAAGGCTCATGTAAAAAACCCCACAGTAGTTAAGAACAACATGCGGCTTTCCTTCCTCTCTCCAAATAAAGCACATGTATGGGGTGTATTTCATGATTTTTAATTAAAGTGAAAATTTTTCATTTCTGTAAATCAATATAGCAAAATCTGGTTTTGATTACAGAATAAAATTCTGCTCTTGGATCTGAAAGTTCTGGATTCCAAACTTTTGTTGCTCCTAAATATGCAACATTTCAACTGATACCAATTTTTGCAGAACTGACAGTAGGACTTTGCCCTAAACCAAAGTGAAAACCATTTTTTTCTCCTTTGATTGAACTCAGTCTGCTGATTTGGCCTAATGTTGTGTGTGTTATGAACCTGGAAGACCATTATGGCTTGGCACCCCTTTTTGCTGGTCTGGTCTAGGAAATGCTAAATGATTGGTAAGTGCACCAACTATTAACTTGCAAGCAGGGACGGGCAGCCATACTATGCATTACAATCTTTATCCTAAATAAATTTGAAAATTTATTCATTTTACTTTAAAACTAGATGACCCGGTAGTGAAAATGGGCTCATTGTCTCTCAAGAATCTTACTGTTCTTGAGGGAGAAAGTAGGGAGAAAACCAAAGAAGATGTCATTTTTTTGTTTGGTTGGGTTTTTGTTGTTGTTGTTGTTCCAGTTTGCAAAAACCTCAGAATTTGGAAGTTTCAAAATTTTCACACACTAACAAGAATACAAAAGGACTGAAGCCTAAGCAAGAGGCAGCAATAGTCAAACAAAGAGAAATGAGAACAAAAATGGATTTCATGTGTGTTGGATGCCATATGTATTTCAGTCTGTATAGTGGTATATACTGACCAGACAATGGCATGCTTTAGGTTTGGGGGCAGTTTCTTCTTGTGAAAGGAGATGTTAACAATCTCTGAGTAGAGGTCCCATCCATTCTCACTGATGATTCAGGACAGCCAGGAGTCTTGATTTGTGTCCCTGATTACAAGTAATGCTTCCCATCAATGTTAGTTGTGTAATTGGGATACCTGGGGTGACTCTGTATCTGGTCCTCCTCTCTGCTTATTATTCTGGTAGCCTTGAAGAAGTCCCCTCAAATGAAAACAGTCTCTCTGTTGATCCTAGAGCTAATCCAATTCAGTTTATAAAGTGATTTAGGGTTGGGAAAACTTTGAGGAGTGACATCTCTTCCTCTGTTCTTGAGGCAGCAGTTTGCTTTGCTTTCTGTGTAGTGGCCAACTTCAATTTTTAAAATGTTATATACTTTTGATGAAGGGCATTCGGGTGTGTTCCATCACAGGAGATGTTGAGGCTTAACTGTGTTATAGGAATTGTTGCTGTTCAAGAAAAATTTAGAAACAATCTATAATAGGCATCTCTCGTGTTTCTTGATTATCAAAGAACCTTTGTCTTGGAAATATATAACTTATCTGGGGAGTTTTGCCTGATCATTGAAGATGTAATCTTGTTACACAGACGTATTGAGTCATCTATATTTTGTTTTCTGTTTTCCACTTTTTTGAGTCATTAGTTCTAAAACTGCAGTAACTGGTTAATCCAGCATATGCATATACTATACTGGTTAAAATATATTTGTATTGTAGTTCAGTGTATTATGCAAAATGGAAACAGTGCTAGCTAAGCAATATGTTTAATGGGTGACTATTCACTGCGGGGGAACCCACCTACTCTTAGTTAATTGGTAAAAATCTAGGATATTTTATTAAAATTGCTTGTTTTGAGAAACATGACAGTAACTTTCTGACTCCATAATAACTCTGTAGACCATTCAGAAAAGAGGTAAATGGTACAGACAAGAACTGTCACCTCCGGTGCACCAACATCTGCCAGACAAAATAAAATCTGCATTGCTCATTTGGTATAACTAAAATGAAATAGTTATAGTAGAACAGGATCAATGGTTTTAAAAATACATTTGCTTTGTTTATACATATTTTTGATTAAGTAAAACCTAAGCTATTTATCAGCAAATTATTATATTGTGACAAATACATTAATAATTTTTAATATTTATAGAACCATACATTACAGATTTTTCAGGGGAATAGTAAGAGGCTTTTTTGTTTAAAGTAACTATAGGATTAATCTTACCAGAGATAGTATCGTGTTCCCTGAAATGTTCCATCATGTTTTCCCTCTTCGCTGCCCTCCAGTTCTACCCCAAGATACACATCCTCTCTCCCAAGCAGGTGCCCCAAGTACTTGATTGTTCCTTTACTGATTTTCCCTGCTGGATGGGAGAATTTCACCAGGTTTCCAATTTTCAAGTCTGTAACATTTCTTGGTGCAAATGGTCGTCTTGGTAACACTACCTTACCCACAGGACTCCTGGCGTAAAAAGAAAAAAATTAAAAGCAAAACCTTTTTCTAAAAGAGTGTGAAACTAATTTTAAATTCTGAAGAAAACTCTTTGTTTGCTGGCTTCTTTTCAGAGTACCAAATAACTTTGCATTTGTGATCCACTTTGATAAGTGCCCTGTGAATTCCAGTTAGAATTCTTACATTTCTTAAAACTTCATTCTCAATTGCCAGTCCAGAAAGATTTCTGGGGGGAGGGAGGGAGGGAGGGATGTTCTGCCTCACCACAGCACAGAGGCAGCTCAGGTAGATTTGTTTTGTATTTTTCTCCTGTTAAATTTGTTCACTATAAAGGGATAGGAATGCATAAGCAGTCCCACTGCACTTCCTGATCACTGCTTGCCTGCATAGTTACTAACCACAGCAAAAACAGAATTTGCATCTCCACTGGAACTGAGTTGGTGAAAGCCCATCACTTGGGACTTACTAACAATGAATTGGGCGAAGCACTAGAAATGTATTGTATGGAGTAATCCTATTCTGTCAGGGAATGGAATAGGTGACCTAGTAAATCTGATGTCACTAATTGTTATGCCTCTCAATTCTTTCACTTCCCCTCCCTTTCTCCTTTTGGTGCCTGCTAGACCAATTGCAGTGCCAAGAATTCCCCCTACTCGTGAGACTGGCTTAACCCAGCTCACGGAACTCATGGGAGCACCATGCCAAGATGCAGCCTTAAAACAGATCACCCAAATGGAACTGGCCCTGTTGAAGGCACCATGACACATAAAAGGAGAGTTAAGCATTGTGAAAGCCAGGGAATGGGGGGAGAGGGGGCGCTCCTCTGAGGGCTTTGCAGATGTAGTGATTGATTTTTGCCATCTGGCAAAATTCCAGGCTAGCAGTCACTCCCATCCTAAGTTAACACTTCTGATTTCACCTGCCTTCTCTTTAGGCAGCAGGAGCCTAGCAAGGCATTCCAGATGAGAGGATCTGAACTAAGCATATCATGGTGGGTGTGTACACCAAAATGTACTGAATGAGTGGATCTGTGTCCTGTCACTATCCTGAAATATTCATGTATGTTCTTCCCTTCAGCATATTTCCCATTTCCCTCATCTCCAAGGGGCCAAAGTTCCAGACCTCTCAATTTCTTAATGAAGCATCAGCCTAAGTATTTATCATTGTGCCTGATAAAAACTTACTGTGCAAACAAACTGTTTTGGTAAAGGTGAACAGCTTTGGAGTCTGGTTTACACCAAAGCAGAGGGTTAAGAAATCCTTCAGCACACTTTATTGGACAAGATTCTGAACTATCTGTTCTTAGTTCAAGAATTCTCTCAAACTAGGATTGAGGCCTCATTCTCAAATTCAGACTCTCTGGAGAAAAGTGGAGTAGTGAGAAACCATGACTGAGGGGAAGAGAGAATGCGTAAAAGGTTATAAGATCAGTGATAAAGAACCAATACAGTTCTTCAAACTCAAAGTGCATGCATCTATTCCAGTCCTGACAGATTCAGATTCCTGTGCAGGTCTGAATTCCCTTTATCTATGTTAAGTAAAAGAATGGAAGAGGCCTTTAGTTGGGATTGTGATTTATCAACTGCTTTGACTTCGTTACACACAGACCTACCTTACTCAGCCTCGAGCAAAGAAATCGACAGCTTGCACAAAGCTAAATCTACAGACTACAAATAGATTTTCTTTCTAGGTCCTTCAAAAATGTATTGGCGTTTAAAGCAGGCAGTTCACACCATACCAGTTTAAAGCAGGCAGTTCACACTTATACCAGCACTGAAAAACCAAATGATAATAGTGTAATGTGACATCAGCACAGCCAGTGTCTTACACGTCTGCAGGAAGGGACCAAAAGCCACCAATCTAGATGAGAAGCAATAAGCAGAGTATGCTATGTTGTACATCTTTTTATCAGCCTGAGCGAAGGAGCTGCTGACCTGAGCAGAACAGATGTGGCTCCCAGGAGAAGTGTCAGTTTTGTGATGAATTTCATATTTTTGTGACTGGAACTATTCAAGGAGTTAGATCTCTTCATGAAGCCCAACGGAAAGTCTCCTTTATTACTCATGACATTCAAGGAAATTTAATGACTGATGCCTTCTCTGTGTTATGGGCTGGGCTTGGATGAATGCCTGCCTTCTTTCACTGCGTGACAGAGCACAGAAGCAGTGCTGGGTACTAGCTCTCAGTCCCATGTTTAGTCCTTCAGCTCCGGAGTTGTTATCCTGGTTCTGCCACTGACTTTGTGTGGCCTTGGGCAAGTCCACAAGCTTCTGCTTTCTCCTCTAAAATGGAGGTGATGACTCTTCCTATCAAGGGGGCATTATGAGGACTTGGGCCTGATCCTGCACCATCTAAGTCAATGGGAGCTTTGTCATAGACTTAAGTGGGCAAAGGATTGGACCCATAGTGCATGTTTGAACAGCTTGTGAAAATGTGATGCACCCTGTAAGTGCCACATAGGGTATAAATAATACACTGAGGAGTGCCAGCAAACTGGATACTGTACTCAGGGAACAGTTACTCCATGGGCCACCCGAACCACACCAGGCTAAAATTACCTGCATATCACAAGGTAAGAAAACTGACCCCACAAAAGCTTTCCTGGG